CTTAATGACCCAGAGGGGAACTTGAGAGTCATGTACCTCTGGATGGATGGGGTTATTGGCTTGGGTGGAGATAAAGATGCCACTCAGGACATGTCACATCTCTAGGCACTGCCAAGCATCAAGAACCAAGCCAGGAGACTGCTGCTGCCTCCCATGCAAGTCTGCACTTGCTTCCTGCCAGGAGTTTCATCCAGCGACACCTTTTCTTTTCTTTTTTTTTTTTAAGATTTATTTATTTATTATGTATACAGTGTTCTACATGTATGCCTGCTGGCCAGAAGAGGGCAACAGGTCTGATTACAGATGGTTGTGAGCCACCATGTGGTTGCTGGGAATTGAACTCAGGACCTCTGGAAGGGCAGTCAATGCTCTTAACCTCTGAGCCATCTCTCCAGCCCCCAGAGACACCTTTTCTAGCCTGCTAGCTTCCATACCCTCCAATTCTTTGGGACCAGGCTAGAAACTCTAAAATTGCCACACTAGAGAGTCTTCCATTCAGGGACTCTGATCAGGCCTAGCCTTATGTTTGGTTTGGGAGATAGTATTTAATCTTATTTCTAAAAGACTTAACTATTTTTTCTAGGAAGAAAATGAAGTACTATGGGCTGGGAAGATTGCTATTGGGCTATGCCCAGGTGTAGCTCTTGATGGGAGGGACAGTCTCCAGCCTGAGGTCCTGCTTCCGGCAGGCCCCAGGCACAGTGAAAAAGCAGAAAGCCATGCCCTGTTGGTTACCTGGCTGTCTGAGGCAGGGTCTCTTACAAGCACTGTATCTGTTGGGTACTTTTGTACACCTATGTCAGTTTCTCTGGGTCAAATGGTGAGAAATAGTGGTGGCAGCTCCCTGACCCTTGGTGGGCATGCCTTCAGTCAAGACGGCTGCTTTGCCAGTTCTCAGAAAGGCAATATGGGTTGGGAGGGTATCCCAGTGGTACCCAGAGCCCCCATTCCCAGTGCCCTGCCCAGATCCCGGTGAGGTCTCCCTGACAGCTGGAATCTCTATTATCAGCATCTTCCTGTCCATACATCTCACTTGCCCCTACCTGACCGTGTCCATCTGACCCTCCATTCTATGTAAGATTGATGATATTTTCTTCCCTTTATTGCTTCACTTCCTGTCCTGTCTGTGGACCAAAATGTTCCAGAATGTAAAAATTAGGTGACAAGCAGAGCACCCAGAACTTGGGGTGGCGACAGTCTCACCCTCCTGGGCTATCTGCCAGGTGAGATCCAGGCACCTGGTTCTACAGGTTCTTGAACCCTAGGTTCCTGTGCCCTCCTGAGTGCCACTGCCCTGCAAGATCTGAGAGATCAGCCTCCTATGTGGAGGGCTGCCTGGCCAGGCTGCTGTCTGCAGGCAGAGTATGGGCTGTGTCTGATATATTTCCTTATTTAAGTATTTAAGGTTTTTGTTTTTGTTTATGGTAGGATCTCACACTGTTGCCCAGGCTGGCCTCAAACTCACAGCAGACCTCCTGCCTCTGTCTCCTGAGTGCTGGGATTTTGATGGGAGCCATCAGCTGAACTCAGGTTCCTATCGCTTGTACATGTCTGTGCGGTTTGAGTCTGTCCTGCCCTGAGTCTCTGAGTCTTCTGAGAATGAGGAAGTATGTTGATGGTGGCTGGACCCCAGTAGGAGAGGTTGGACCAGTGTAGATGAAGGGCATATGTAACCTTGGTGCCTCTGCCAGTTACCAGAGCTACCCCAGAGGGAACCAGCTCTGAGGCAACAAACAGTATGGGGATCCCTGAGCTTGGGGAGGAGGTGCAGGCTGGAAACCCAGAGTCAGCACAGCCTGATCTGGTCATCAGAGCCCTACTTCTTCTGGTGAAGCTGTGGTGTCTCCCAGCCTCCAGGCGAGGGTGTCACAGTTTCAGGATTGGGCCCTGGCAGCTCTGCAAATGTCACTATCTTGAGAGGCCTTTCCTGAGGAAGGCCAACAAAGATAGATCCCGGGAGGGCTGGGCCTTGGATCTGGTGCCCTGGCACTACTTGCTCCAGTTCTGCTTCTGATAGGAGCTGTCATCTTTCCAAACACTTGGAAGTCCACAGTGCAAGATGGGGCTGGCAGACACCCTTTCTACACCCACAGCCCAGTAACCTTTCTACACCCTCAACCCCACTTCCCCCTCACCTTATAGAGGGTCTACCTGGACTTCCGTACATAGTGACCCAATGAGGTCTCTGCTCTGTCTTGGATCCAGCCTCCTAAGGGCCATACCTTCAGGCTGTACTCCAGATTTGAAATCCCTAGCATCCTATTTCTGTCCTCATGAAGAGTTTTTGTTTGTTTGTTTTTCGAGACAGGATTTCTCTGTATTGTTTTGGAGGCTGTCCTGGAACTCGCTCTGTAGACCAGGTTGGCCTCGAACTCACAGAAATCTGCCTGCCTCTACCTCCGGAGTGCTGGGACTAAAGGTGTGTGCCATCACCACCTGACTATGCAGTTTTTTTTGCTTTTTGTTTTTTGTTTTTGTTTTCAAGACGGGTTCTCAGTGTACCCTTAACTGCCTTGGAACTTGCTCTGTAGACCAGGCTGGCCTCAAACTCACAGAGTTCTACCTGCCTCTTCCTTCCAAGTGCTGGGATTAAAGCCGTGCTACCACTACCAGATCAAGATTTATTATTTTTTTATGTATATGAGTGCTCTATCTACACATACACCTTTATGCAAAAAGCGGGCATCAGATACCACTAGAGATGGTTGTGAGCTACCATGTGGTTGCTGAGAATTGAACTCAGGAAGAACAGGCAGTGTTCTTAACTGCTGAGCCATCTCTCCAGCTCATGTAGTTTTTGCTGTACCTCCTTCCCTGCCCTGTGGGCCTCTTGCTGCTGGGCCAATTTTTCCTCACCTGTCTTAACACCCCACCCCCACCTGCCCTGAGTTTCACCACCTGGTGACATCCTGTTTGCACTTCAGGAAGCTAGTAAAGGTCCACCATCTCCACACACAGATCAGTTCTGGCAGCTCCCCACCACCCAGAACTGATCTGACCACAAGCCCCTAAGATTTCAGCACCTACTGATACCCGCAGACAAGGGGTCTGTACCAGGAACAGACCTGCCTAGAAGCAGGTATGGGTCTCACACCATGAACAGTGCCTTGACGCTAGCCTGGGTGACCAGGCCAGCCTATTCTTGACCTGCCAGGAATTCTAGGGGAGCCAGGGCCAAACACAGAGAGCTGGACTGTGGGTGTGAATCCTCAGCAGCCACAGTCTCCTAGACAGAGACCTGCTGGGGCTCCACGTGTCCACAAGGACGTGGCTCAGCACAGCCCCTGTGTGCCCTTGGTTGGGCAGCTATGTGTTCTCTGAAGAGGCCAGGCTAGTGGGGCCAAATGTGACCAGAGCTGACTGTTGGCAGGTTGGCAGGTCTGGCATGTCAGTGGCCCAGAAGAGGGTGAAGACAACAAGGAGGCATCTGAAGCATGGAATGTAGCTCAGTGAGACTTCCCTAGGCTGTGCACAGTGTTGCACTGAGATCAACAAGATGGTGACTGCAGAATTTGTCTCAGGAACTTCGGTGACCAGTCCTTGTCCTATGGCCATAGGCAGGGGTCTTTCATGTTTTTATCCACGTGTGAGGGATACACACTGAGGCTTGAACTTTTCTTTTTTGAAATAGGGTTTCGTGTGACTCAGGCTGGCCTTGAATCCCTGATGCTCCTGAGTGCTAGGATGAAGATGAAATACAATATAAATTCTTTACTTTAAAGTATTAAGGCTGGGTAGTAGTGGTGGTGCACACCTTTAGTCCCAGCACTCAGGAGGCAGAGGTAGGCAGATCTCTATGGGTTTGAGGCCTGCTTGGTCTACAGAGTGAGTTCCAAGATAGCCAGGACTAAGACAACATAGAGAAACCCTATCTTGGAAAAAATAAAAAAGGAAGAAAACCTTATACAATTCAAAGCTAGGTGTAGTACATACTCTTGTAAGCCCAACATTGAAGGGTTGCTACATGTTTGAAGCCATCCCCAAAACAAAGCAAAAAAAAAAAAAAAACAGAATTCAGTATTTTCTGTGTGTGTTTACTGTATTATGCTGTCTCCTCCCAGAGCATCCTATCTCTTCTGAAGGAAACGCTACCCCTGGGCTGGTGAGATGGCTCAGTTGGTTAAAAAAAAAAAACACCTGAGTTCAACCCCTGGGATGTATACATTGGAAGGAACAAACTGACTCCCAAAAGCTGTCCCCTGATCTACACATACAAACCAAACAAAAAACTCACGGCCTCGGCAGTTTCCCTCAAGTCCCTAGCATGTGTCAATCTGATTTTCTGTCAATGAACCTGTCGTGGAGTCATGTGGATGGGCTCATACAAACTTAAGTCCTCTTGTGACTGCCATCCATTGCCTGGTCTTGTTCCTGAACTTTTCAAGGGTCACCATGTGGTAGTGTGTGTTGGTACCTCATTCCTTCTTATGGCCAAACATAACAGAGCCACATTTTGTTGATTTTCTCATTATCCAACTGATGGACAGGTCCTGGCTTTGCCATTTGGCTAAGTTAGTAGGTACAGGTGAGGAACTACAGCCAACCATAACCTTGGATTCATCTGAGGTGACCTATATGGACAGAATGGGTGAGCAGGCTAGCTGGGGGTCTGGGAGCTCCCTGGAGGGCATGGTGACACTGAGTTAAAGGATGGTTCCATTCAAGCCATTACAGCACTAACCTGTAACCTTAGCACTGGAGAGACCAAAGCAGGAGGGCCTCTGTCCAAGGCCAGCCTGGGTTATAGTGTGATTGTGAATCTATCTTTAAAAATAAAAAAAGACCTCCGAGGAGATGGCTCAGTGGGTAAAAGTTTGGCTGCCACACCTGACAATCCATGCCTTCTCCTCTGACCTCTACATAGCCCGGAGTGCACCCCTCACACATAATAAATAGTACATCTTTCTTTTCAAAATGAGTTCCTTGATCCAGACTTCTGGGAAGGGCCTATAGCCCCAGGTCTGTGTGAGCCCCTGCTCACTCTGTTCCTTTGCCTGCAGCATTCGCAGCGTCATGCAGAAGTACTTAGAGGACCGAGGAGAGGTGACTTTTGAAAAGATCTTCTCACAGAAGTTAGGTGAGTGCAGCCACCTCTCCCAGCCTGAGGTCTCTCCATGAAGACTCCAGGGTTAGTTTCCTGTCACCTGGTAGCTGGTTCCAGAGGTACCCCCATCTACTTGGCCCTTCCACCCCCAGTAAAGAGTAATGACCCTTTGTGCCTCCCAGCCCCTGGCTTCTGCCCAGGGAGCCCTGTGGTGGGGGTGGGGGCCCATCAGTCTTCCCCAGGCGCCAGGGAAGTTCCTCCTTTGGGGTTTTTGTTTTTGAGAGTTGCAGCTTCCCCTTGGCGCAGCCACAGCTGCTCTGGGCCGTTGGTGGAACTGACAGGAAGAGGCGGGGCCCTTCCTGTGGTGCCTGTAGAGCTGTGGTTGGCCCCGCCCCCCAGGCCCTAAGTGAGCAACCTGCCTTAGAGCTGGCCCCTCCGTCTTTCCTCTGGTGTGTGGGGGTGTATACTCTTGTCTTGAAAGTATCATGTTGCCCACCTCATATCCCAGCCCAGGGAAAGCTTGGGATTGTGTCTCAGGAAGCCACTGTAGTCACACAGGGTACATACAGATTTGGGCTTCCTGAGGGTGGGATCTCAGTATGGAACTGAGGGTGGCCTGCAAGGGTCAGGCATTGGGGATCAGCCTTAGTTAAGCAGTAGGCCAGGAGAAGCACAGCCTGGGGTGTAGGTCTGTGCTGTCTAGACTTTGGCAAATTGCTTCTCCTCTCTGAACCTCATGCTGGTCAAATACGAGAAATAGGACCTGGAGCCCAGTTGCCCATGGCAGAGAGGATGGACCTGAATCAATGGTGTCAGTAAGAGTACTTTGCAATCCCATGCCTCTCCCCACTGCCTTGTTCCCAAGTCACTGGAAGGTTCCCCATTAAAAGACCAGGCTAGTCTTAGAAGAAATGATGCTTTAGGCATTAGTAGGCACATCTGGGATTAGAGGCCATTGACAACACTAGGTCACTAGTGCCTCTTAAAAATACATAGCCACCTAGCACAATTCAGGCACCCTAGCCAGGAGATGGTGGTGAACATCTTTAATCCCAGTACTCAGGAAGCAAATCTCTGAGTTGGAGGTCCATATCCAGACTAGCCAGGGCTACACAGAAACCCTGTCTTGAAAAAAAAAATGGCTCAAAGGTTAAGAGCACAGACTACTCTTCCAGAGGACCTGAGTTCAATTCCCAGCAAGCATGTGGTGGCTCACAACCACCTATAATAGGATCTGATGTCCTCTTCTGGCCTGCAGGTATACATGCAGAGCATTCATATTCATAAAATACAATAAAATCTTTTAAAAAAAAGAAAAACAAAACAAACAACTCAGACATCTGTGCTAGACTAGAAGCCTGAGAGGGGGCCACCCTTAGCTTTGCTGTGTTATCTGGAAGTTGCTCTGAGACCTCCAGTCTTGCCAAGGGATCTGCCCATGGATCGAGGAGCTCTGAATTCCCATGACAGGTCTCCCTGAGCCTCAGTTTCCCCAACTGGACTTGCCTTTCTGGTCAAGGAGATAGGAGAAATCATCTAGATATGAGGAGGCTGTAACGAGAGGGACTTTCTTGGTTGCCACCTACCTCCTGCTATAGCCTGACCTGGCCCAGGTGGCCAGGTCATCATGATCTCCCCACTAAGAACCTTACTATAAGCTGGTCAGTGGTAGCACTACCTTTAATCCCAGCACTTGGCAGGCAGATCTCCGAGTTTGAGACCAGCCTGGTCTACAGAGTGAGTTCCAGGGCAGCTGGGGCTACACTGAGAAACCTTGTCTTGGAAAACAAACAAAAAAGAGCCTCGCTATATCTCCATAGCCCATAGGAGGCAGTATCACCATCTCAGGGGGATCAGGCAATCTAATGCAGAGTTAGCCCCACTCCTCCCCTACCTTGCCACAGAACCAGTGTTTTCTATCCATCATCTGGGCCACCAGTGCCTCTTAGAGATACATAGCCACCTAGCACAACTCAGGCACCCTAGCCAGGAGATGGTGATTCTGGGGCTAGTGCAGAAGTATAGGTGCCCTAACCTGGAATTTGGGACTCGAGGCCCACATTGCTTAGACTCTTCCTGAGATACAGACTCTCTCTCCTGCTGCCTTGGCTAGTTCTGTCTAGGAGTCCCCAAGCTCGCTCTTCCCATGGTGATGGGCAGGCCCCTTGAGGAGGGTATTGATGACTCAGTGTGACCAGGTCTGATTGCTTTCAGGGTACCTGCTTTTCCGAGATTTCTGCCTGAACTATCTGGAAGAGGCCAAGCCCCTGGTGGAGTTCTATGAAGAGGTACGACAGTCAAGGTCTGCTGAAACAAAGGTGCTTGGGCACCTTTGCTGAGTGTGAGGCACCTGGGATCTAGCCCCATGCCCTGGCTACAGACCACCTATGGGTGTTCCTTCCAGATCAAGAAATATGAGAAGCTGGAGACAGAGGAGGAGCGTGTGGTCCGTAGCCGTGAGATCTTTGACTCCTATATCATGAAAGAACTCCTGGCCTGCTCACATGTGAGTGTCCTGGTCAGCTGTCTTTGGGCCGGCCCCACGCAACCTAGGGTTGGAAGGGAAAAAAGGGCCTTGTATAGGATGCACAGCCACCTCTGTCCTCTCCAGCCCTTTTCAAAGAATGCTACCGAGCATGTCCAGGGCCACCTGGTGAAGAAGCAGGTGCCTCCAGATCTCTTCCAGGTGCGTGCTGAGCTCTTTTCCTCATGACTCCGCCCTACCCAGATCAGGTCCTCCTGTCTTAGACAGCTGGGCCCTGGAGCCTGGGGCTGGATGCAAGGCCTGGGTCACCAAGGGCTAATAGACTTGGTCACCAACTCCCAGCCCCTCCCCACAGCCATACATTGAGGAGATTTGTCAGAACCTCCGAGGGGATGTGTTCCAGAAGTTCATTGAGAGGTGAGTAGGAAAAGAAAGAGGGAGAAGAGATCTGGGTAAGACAGTGGCAGCTGCTCTGGCTGCAGGGCCTTGGTCTGTCCATGCCTTATCAAAGGAACTCGTGGGAGGTCGTAGACTCTGTTCCCTTCTGTCACCTTGTCTTTCTGGGATCTCTTGCTGGTCTCCCTGTGCTGTGAAGTGTCAAGGTCCAGGCAGGGCTATGCCTGGAGTACACACTACCTTCTGTGGCTTGAACCTCCAGAGTCTAGGCAGAATGCTAGGAGCAGCATTTTCAGTCACAGCTACCTAGCCATGGGGTTGGCGCTGAGAAGGTGACTTCCCTGGGAATGAGCTCTTGGCTGGAGGCGTGTGAGCAGCAAGGTATACCCTGGTGGAGGTCTGACTGGAGACCATCTCTCTGATCCCAGTAGGAGGCTGTGTGGCCTGAACTGACCACAGGCCTGGGGCGTCTCCATGTTCACTTGCCAGGACTCTGGGAGGGCTGTGGGTGGGATAGGCTCTGATGGCCTCGACATACCTTAAAGCTGGCCTAAGTGTGTGTCCTCTCTTTCCCAGTGACAAGTTCACACGATTTTGCCAGTGGAAGAATGTAGAGCTCAACATCCACGTGAGTGGCTAGGGTGTTAGCATGCCTGTGTGCAGGGGACCCCTGGGGAGAGCAGCACCCAGGGCTCTGTTGGCAGCCTCACAGTGGTGGCTCTTGAGGGGAGGGGGCCAGTGCTAGGATTCCAATGGAGGAGGCTGGAGAAAGGTAAGTGTGTAGCCACATCACAGGAGTAGGGGACCCTAGTGCCAGGGCCTGTCCTTGCTGCCCAAATGCCTCCGCTGTGGGGCTGGGCCCAGGAGGCCTGCAGTGACCTCAGCTGTTGCCACCCTGCAGCTGACCATGAACGACTTCAGTGTGCATCGCATCATCGGGCGTGGGGGCTTCGGTGAGGTCTATGGGTGCCGGAAAGCAGACACAGGCAAGATGTGAGCACCCTGGTCAGCTGGCACTGGGTGGGGTGCCTGAGGGAGGAGTCAGGCTCCTAGAGGTATCATGAGGGACTGAGGCCTTCTAAGGAAGGGCTGTTATGGGGATCAGTGTCCCAAGCCTGCCACCCCTGAATGTTGAGTCTCTGCCTAGGACTATACCTTGTCCCCTCCTGCCAATGTCCCTCCTTCCTGTCTTGCTTTGGCTATTCTGTCTCCTTCAGGCTCCTCAGAGACTAACTTGCCAGCACCTTTTGCCCTCTCTAAAGCATTGGCTATGTCACGTGTTTGTCGTGCGTCTGGTCTTCATCAGCAGCCTGCTGAGGCAGCCTGGGGCTCTGCCCTGCAGGGTGTGCTGACACAGCTGACCTCCTACTCCATCATAGGTATGCCATGAAGTGTCTGGACAAGAAACGCATCAAGATGAAGCAGGGAGAGACCCTGGCTCTGAACGAGAGGATCATGCTTTCCCTCGTCAGCACCGGGGTGAGCTGGGAGGCCAAGCGGGCCCCCATAGTGACCTCTGACCCAAGCCTCAGCTGGCCTTTGCTCACCGTCCCCTCCCTCCTAGGACTGCCCCTTCATCGTGTGCATGTCATACGCATTCCACACACCAGACAAGCTCAGTTTCATCCTGGATCTCATGAACGGTGAGCCCAAGACCAGCCCTAGGGGGTGGACCTAAAGCTGAACCTGGGCTGGAAGCTGAGTCTCACCTGGAGGGCTGCCCCTCAGGTGGGGACCTGCACTACCACCTGTCTCAGCATGGAGTCTTCTCGGAGGCCGACATGCGCTTCTACGCAGCTGAGATAATCCTGGGGCTTGAACACATGCACAACCGTTTTGTAGTCTACAGGGACCTGAAGGTGAGGGATGGCCACCACCCACCCTTTCCTAGTCTAGGCCTGTGACAAGGTTAGCTTGCCTCCCTGTCTGCCCTCCTTCTCTCCCTGCCTGAGCCACATTCCGAGTTCAGTTGTGGTGGGGAAGGGGGTGTCCTATCTGGGACTTTGTCCCAGAAACCTCTAGTTCCCTCCAGTGAAGGCCCAGATTGGCCTCCTCCTGGCGAAGTAGTTCACTGGACTTTCCTTTACAGCCAGCCAACATTCTCCTGGACGAGCATGGCCATGTGAGAATCTCAGACCTGGGCCTAGCTTGCGACTTCTCCAAGAAGAAGCCCCATGCCAGTGTGTGAGTGTCCAGACATTCCTTCCCTTCCCAGACTTCCCCCACTTCACTTACAACCTGTGCTTCCACAGGGGCACGCACGGGTACATGGCCCCCGAAGTCCTACAGAAGGGCGTGGCCTATGACAGCAGTGCTGACTGGTTCTCTCTGGGTTGCATGCTCTTCAAGTTGTTGCGGGGGTGAGTAGGCTACCCCAGGTGGGCAGGCAGGGTGAGGACCTGAGACATTATTCGCCAGTCCAGATCGGAAGCAGTGAGGGAGCCCTCCATGGCCTGGGTATTAGGGGTGGAACCCTCCCTTATTTCTGACAAGCCTCATTCATGCAGTCTACCTCAGTTTTCCCATTCTTGTTCTTTGACATTCGTCTTTGACCCCTTGTCCAGACACAGCCCCTTTCGGCAGCACAAGACCAAAGACAAGCATGAGATTGATCGCATGACATTGACAATGGTGAGTGTGAGAGTGACGGTCCACAGTGTGCCAGAGCGGAAGCTCTTGTTCACGTCTCTAGCCAGTGAGCCCTTCTCCAGCCCTAAGGGAGAGGCTTCTTGCCCTGCAGCCTCCTTCCTCCTTTGTGTTGTCAGAGCTCATACTTGTTGGGGACCAGGAGGAGGCTTGGCTTCATCTGCTGCGCTGGCCTCTAACCCTCCCCCAGAGCCAAGGGCTCTTCCTGGGCTCCTATTGACTTCCTTCTTTTCTTTGTCCTGGAAGGCTGTCGAGCTGCCTGACTCCTTCTCCCCTGAACTGCGGTCCCTGCTGGAAGGTTTGCTGCAGAGGGATGTCAATCGGAGGCTAGGCTGTCTGGGCCGTGGGTGAGTACCCTGGCCTCTCCAGCATATTCAGTCTTTGCTGTGGGCTGCTGGGCCAGCCTGCCTAGGCCTCTGACTGTGGCTCCTTAGAACAATGGTTGTGTCCCATCATTTGAATTCCTGCATGGTCTCAACCTCCCTTGTGAAAAGCTCACAAGGGAGGTCATGGCCCACACTATCCAGTGTCCTTAAGGTGGTAGGGCTGGCTGAGTGTATCAGTGTTGGAACCAACTGGGGACCAGCTTTTAAACAACCCAGAGGAGTCTTTGTAGCAAGGTGATGATGACCACAATTATAACAACTTTTTTTTTTTTTTTTTTTTTTTTTTTGCGTGAGGTGAGGGGTTATTTCTCAAGACAAGGTCTCATGCAGCTTAGACAACTCTTGCTTTGTAGCTGAGGCTGGTCTGGAACTCCTCATCTTCCTGCTTCCACCTTCTAAGTACTGGGATTAGAGGTGTGTGCCAGCACATCCGGCTTAATAGTAGCTTTTTATGTCTGCTGGGACATCTGTTAATTGCCAGATAAAGCGGTATTAAAACTCACACCAACTCCAGGATGTGGGAACTGCTTCTCCCATTTAGAGATGAACAAACAGGCTGAGAGTTATGGAACTCACTTAAGATCATAGAGCCAAAAGGTGGTTGAGTCAGGAGTCAAGCCTGAGCTAATGGCCCCACAGTCTGGACCTAGCCCAACTTGGGTGGTGCAGAGCCCATGTGACAGATATGTCTTTCCACAGGGCTCAGGAAGTAAAAGAAAGCCCGTTTTTCCGCTCACTGGACTGGCAGATGGTCTTCTTACAGAAGGTAAGAGCCTGTCCAGGGGTAGAATGAGGAACCCCATGGCCTCACCCCTGCTGATGTCCAACCCCTGCCCTTTGCAGTACCCGCCCCCACTGATCCCCCCACGTGGGGAGGTGAATGCAGCTGATGCTTTTGACATTGGCTCCTTTGATGAGGAGGACACAAAAGGAATCAAGGTACTGCACCTTGCCTGGTCCCTGAGCCCTGAGCCTGGCCTGTTCTGGATGGCCCTGCCCCTCCTCTGCCCCTGTGAGACACTGTGGCAGCCCTGTGGACTATGGGCTATACCCCAACCTCCCTTGGGATGGTGATCACATGAGACCATCCCTGGCTTAGGGCCCTATGCAGGCCTATGACTGACAATATCCTGGCATCCTTTGTCTATCCACGGTTCCCTGCCATGTCCACCTGGTGAAGTTACTGGACAGTGACCAGGAACTGTACCGCAACTTTCCTCTCACCATCTCGGAGCGGTGGCAGCAGGAGGTGGCAGAGACTGTTTTTGACACCATCAATGCTGAGACAGATCGGCTGGAGGCACGAAAGAAAGCCAAAAACAAGCAGCTGGGCCATGAGGAGGGTGAGGACTCATGACCGTGAGGCGCCACGCCTGTTGCATACTGCAGAAATGAGAATGGGCTCTGCTAAGAAACTGACCAACACTACAGCCAAAAGGGGGGTGGGGGTGGGGTGCTGATCCTACATCCCATCTCTTGTGCAGACTATGCTCTGGGTAAGGACTGCATCATGCATGGCTACATGTCCAAGATGGGCAATCCCTTCCTGACCCAGTGGCAGCGGCGGTACTTCTACCTGTTCCCCAACCGACTTGAGTGGCGGGGTGAAGGCGAGGCTCCGGTAAGAAGGGGTACTGCACGCCTTTAATCCCAGCACTGGGGAGGCAGAGGCAGGCGGATCTCTGTGAGTTTGAGACCAGCCTGGTCTACAAGAGCTAGTTCCAGGACAGCCTCCAAAGCCACAGAGAAACCCTGTCTCAAAAAACCAAAAAAAAAAAAAAAAAAAAAAAAAGAAGGGGTACTGATAGAACATGGTATGGGCACAGGTGGATCCCAGGACCTTTCTTAACAGCCTATTCTGCCCCTGCTACCCTGCAGCAGAGCCTCCTGACCATGGAAGAGATCCAGTCAGTGGAAGAGACGCAGATCAAAGAGCGCAAATGTCTCCTCCTTAAAATCCGTGGAGGCAAGCAGTTTGTCCTGCAGTGTGATGTAAGTGGGGTGAGGGTGCGAGTGGGTGGGTGCCTGGCCAGCAGAGGCTGATAGACCCTGACATGTGCAGAGTGACCCTGAGCTGGTGCAATGGAAAAAAGAGCTGCGTGATGCCTACCGTGAGGCCCAGCAGCTGGTGCAGCGAGTGCCCAAGATGAAGAACAAGCCACGCTCACCTGTGGTGGAGCTGAGCAAAGTGCCGCTGATCCAGCGTGGCAGTGCCAACGGCCTCTGACCCACCCATCTGCTGCCCGTCTGCCCACCCGCCTTTTATAAACCTCTAATTTATTTTGTCGAATTTTTATTATTTGTTTTCCCGCAAAGCGGAAAAGGTTTTATTTTGTAATTATTGTGATTTCCTGTGGCCCCAGCCTGGCCCAGCCCCCAGGGAGGGGCCTGCTTGCCTCAGCTCCTGTTGCCACCAACCAACCCAGCCACTGTCTAACACCCCTACCCTGACCCCCCAACTCTCCCAGGGCCCTTGCTCCCAGCGTCTTCCTGTAGGGAAGAGGAGCGACCCTCAGCAGCCCCTTGCCCCTCCATGGAGTGAAGCCACATAAGGTGGTGGGCCACTTCAGGCTCTGTGGGCTGTGCTCAGCCCGTGGCACACCTGGGCGGCCCAGCACCCCCACCCTAGGGAGGAAGGTGCAACACAGGGATACTACTTGAACTTTCCTACCACAGCCCTCGTGCCGCAGACGACAGACTCCCTGCCGTTCTGTCCTCTTGACACTGGTGAGAGAAGGCCCTTGTCTCCCCAGACCTCCACAGTGACCGGCTCCTAGGTCCTTGTTCAGGAAAAGCCTCTGTGTCACTACTGCCCCATCTCCCCTTCCATGGACACAAGGGCTGGGTCAGAAGTCTGGCAATGGCGGTGGCTGCTGCTGGCCTCCTTACAAGTCCCCTCTTCTTCCCATTGTGTGCCCGGACTCAGAGGAGCACAGAAAAGGCAATTGCGGATTGGGCCACACTGGCCTAGCCTCAACCTGGGCCCCCAACCCTGGACTGGGTGAGGCCCACCTGCCCAGGACCACAGTGGGACAGCCTGGGCAGGTGGGTGGCGCAGCATAGGAGCCCAGCTGGGGCCAGTCCTCCTTGTTCTGGCTGGTCAGTGTGTCCCCACCCACACTGTCCAGCCCCCAGCCCATGTCCTGTCCGTGCCACCGCCCACAGGTGCCACCTTGCCCACCGCATGCCCCCTTGTGCCAGTCGCGCAGCCATGTGTGGTGTCGTGCCCTCTCCCCCCTGGGGCTGGGCCAGCACCCCCCACCCCCCAGCCCTGCCCCACCCCGTCTACTCACTCCCAGGGCGTTTCTTTGACGATTTTTGAATGTGATTTTCAAGAGTGGAAAATGAGAATATGCGTTTTTATAAAAAATGGTGCCTGACTCCTCACTGTCTGACTCTTTGTACCTGGTGACCACTTTTCAGTCACTTCTGTCTGGGGCCTGAGATGGGAGGATCTTAGTAACCCATCTTTCCCACCCTGGAGGGGTAGATTCTTCTGCCCACCTCCCAAATAAACCCATGGAGTGGCCAGTGGTCCATATCAGCTGCCATGTTTGGAATGGCTGGGGACATAATGACCTTATAAGTTCCCCCTGCATGTCAATCACTGTGTCAATCCCCACTCCCTCTCAGCACACGTTCTTCTCATCATACTGCAACTTCTGGCCCTTTGGCTGTGTCTGGCATTGGCCTGTCTTGTGGCCTCAATGTGCAACCTCTGTTGGGGTCACTGGGCTTGAGGGGTGCCCCAACATCAATCCTGTCTCCTGAGAATGAACTTCTTTCTCGTGTGTCCTTGCTCCGGGTCTTTGGAACTAGTGACAGAACAGGAAGCACCCCCGCCCCACCCTGTCTGATGCCGGGATGGGGTGCACAGAGGAGGAGATAGTTCTAGGGAAGATACTGTGTGGTCTTGGATGAAATGGCCTTTGAGCTGGGCCTCCAGCATTGGAGTGGTCTTTGGTGGAAATGTTTCTAAGACCAGGAAGGGTCAGGCACTTATGAGTGTCTCAGTCAGCAAAATACAAAGGAAGAAACCAGGCCTTGGGACCCTGAAAGGCCAGCCTTAACTCAGCACAGGCCCAGAATACTCAGTGACTGCAGCTTGAAGATATGAACAAACTGAGAGGCTGAACTTGCTTGGCTCTGGGTGGTTAGCAGTGGCTAGTCTCGAACTCACTGTATGGCCGCACATGGCCTTGAACTCCTTCCTCATCTCCTGCTTCCACTTCACACATACTGGGATTACACATGCTTTCACGTCTGGCAAGTTCTCAAGTTTCCGGGCAGGCTGAGTTCATGAGAACTAACTCTAAAACAAATAGTTGGGCACTGCAAGAAGTAAGGCGATAGGATCATTGCTTTTATCCAGGGAAGATGATCTTGTAATGGTGACAGTGAAAGAGGCCAGAGAGGAGAAAATGGCTGAGCAGTTAATAGGCCAAGCCAAGCTTAAGGATGAGAAGTAGGTGGTCAAACCTGAAGCATATTAGGAAGGCCATGATGTTATTCAAGAGGTAAGGTAGAGCTGGGTATGGTGACACACCCCTTTAATCCCAGCACTTGGGTGGCAGAGGCAGATGAATGTGAGTTTGAGTCCAGTCTGGTCTATATAGTAAGTTCCAGGCCAGCCAAAGCTACATAACGAGACCCTGTCTCAAAAGACCAACCAGCACTCACAGGGACAGAAGCAGGTGGATCTCTGTTCTTTCAAGACCAGCCTGGTCTTCAGAGCGAGTTCCAGGACTGACTCCATGGCTACTGGGAAACCCTGTCTCAAAAAACAAAAACAAAAAACAACAAAAAGGTAAGATAGCCCAGAGCACAGGTGGCTTGGGAGAAAGTAAAGGCATTTGGATTTGTCTTTTGACACCCTAAGGGGCAACATGGAGTACCTACGACCAGAGATGTTCTAGAGGTAACATCAGGGTGTCAGTAGGAGAATGAACAGATAAGCTGTCAGCCAGGAGAGGCCTCCATGGGTGTCAAGCTGGGAAAAGAGGGTCACTGTCAGAGAAATAAGGGCTGGTGGAGAAATGCTCAAGGTTCAGAGTGGAGAGGAGGGGGGGACAGGACAGTCCTGACAAAAGCAGAGGCCAGCAGAGCCTAACCGTAGAGCTCTGGACATTCAAAGGCTTTGAGTTCCTCCCTAAGTCCAGACATCACGGATGACCTGACTGCACCATAGATCCCAGAGAGCCATAAGCCACCTGATTACAGGGAGAAAGGGAGTAAAGATGGCAATCAGGCTGCAGGACTAAGGACACCCTAGAACAGGAAGGGAGCCTCAGTTGATGGTCATCACACTGTTAACACATAGGGAGACAGGGCCAGCAAAATGGCTCATCTGATAAAGGCACTTGCTGCCCAGCCTGACAACTGGAGTTCAATGAGTGGATAGTTAATCAAATGTAAATTTTTTAAATGGAGAAACAGACCAGTGGGTCGGTTTTGGGAAGTGGCTTACAGTCTTTTTAAGACCAGGACCAGAGAACTCATAATAGGACTGAAGAGAACCAGGGGCCGAAACTAAGATGACTGCCTTGCACCCTAGTTCCTGTGTGGGTGGAAGTGGTGGCCTTCTTTTGAAACTCTCCTTCCTTCCCTATTGACAGTAAAATGCGCTTCTGCAAAAGGGACCCACGTGGTGGCAGTGCATGCCATGGCCAATTTCCCACCAAGAAAGCCTGTGTTCTCCAACCCCAGCATTCCTATTCCTGACTCCAGTGTTGTTGGAGGGCTCCCCCGCTCATGGTGTGATTCTTCCAGGCATCAGGCAGACCCTTGGGAAAGAGGTTTTGAATGATCAGCGTTAAGAGGCTGCTACTGGGTATTCATGTCCAGAAACTAAGCGCCTTGCCTGGCAGGGATGAAGTCAAAACTTAGCATCTCACCCGCACACAAAAGGCCAGTCGGTGCCGGTGAAAACCAGGAGTGGGTTGGGTGGAAGGACACATGGTATGGGCAAGGGTCTGGGCCCGCTACATATGTAGGTCTTGGAGCCCAATCCCGGCTCCACCAAGCCTCCCCGCTCCCCTCCCAGCCCTTCCCTCTCCAGACCGCTAGGAAGGGGGTCTGCCCGGGGCATGGGGCGCCCCCTGCGGGCACGGGTAGATACAGCTAAGCCCCGCCCTCCGGAACGCCCTCTACCAACCCTGGCGGGTTCGAAACTAGATTCCGGCTGTTCCAGGGGCACGTGTGGTTGTCCTGGAGACTGGACAACACCCCCCCCATCTCCGCCCGCCCCCAGCGCTCAGGCCTGCAATGGTTGCCATGGCTGCGGGAGGCGAGGGGGCGCGGAGTCTGAAGCCACGCCCTGCCCCCGTGTAGCCCCGCCCCCATCCCTCGCCCCGCCCTCCCTGCCGCCCTCGCTGTTGCTGCTGCGGCTGCTGCTAAGGGGGTCCGCGGGGCTGTGGCCAGTTGCAGCTGAGGTGCGGCTCGGAGCGAAGGCACCGGGGCAGTGCCAGACGCAGGCCAAGAAGGGCTGGGTCATACACTCGGGATGCGGCGCTGAGGCCCAGCATGGCCGGCTTGGGCCCCACCTTCCCGCTGCACCGGCTAGTCTGGGCGAACCGGCACCGCGAACTGGAGGCCGCGTTGCACAGCCACCAGGTGAGGCCTCCCGCAGTGGATCCGGTTGGTCCCCCTGCCGAGGTGCGGAATCCATCCTGCAGCCCACTTGCCCGTGCTCTGCTCTGCAACTGCATCCTGATTCCTTAGTTCAGCCCTGTCTGAAGCCCAGGTCACCTGCCCTTTAGCTGCATTTTCCTGTGCTGGGCCTAGCTCTGCTCTCTGCCCACTTCGTATTGCATTAAGCTCCGTATTCACCCTCCATCTCTAAGCTAAATTGAGGACAAGAACCTTGCTCTTGGTCCTCAAGCCAATCCATACTTTTGACATCCCTCACTAGACCCTGCCGCTAGGCCTCCAACTCAGGAGAAATGTGGAGACCTTTGCCGTTGGCTCTCACTGCCCCCCTTTACCCCGGCCCCCTCCAGCCCACATAGGCCACCCTCTGTCTTGTCACTGACCCGGTTACTCTCGCTTATTCCCATAGTAACTCTAGCTCTTTTCAATCCAGTGACCTCCTTGCTTTGGCTCTCTCTTTCCTTGTGTTGAGTGTCCCATCTCCCTCAGCACGACATCGAACAGGAGGATCCTCGAGGGCGGACCCCCCTGCAGCTGGCTGTGTCCTTGGGGAACCTGGAGTCTGTGAGAGTCCTCCTTCGACATAATGCCAACGTGGGCAGAGAGAGCCACCAGGGCTGGGCAGGTACTATGCAGGGCAGAGGTGGGTATGGATGGGGTGGAGTGGTCAAGCCTGGTCACTAAGAGGGCTTTGTTTCCAGTCCTGCAGGAGGCAGTCAGCACCGGAGACCCTGAGATGGTGCAGTTGGTACTCCAGTATCGGGACTTCCAGAGGGCCACACAGAGGTTGGCTGGCATTCCAGAACTACTCAACAAACTCCGTCAGGTATGGTAGGGTACAAGAAGCGATCAGTAAGGAAGTGGGGTATCATAGCATGGGCCACCCTGGTCCCTGTGACAGGCCTGGCATTTGAAGAGTAAGTGCCTAGGCTGTGCAGTATGTTTTCCTACCATCTATGCCTTTACCTGTGCCAAAGGATGCAAGAAATAGAGGATTCCAGTTCCATGAGACTGGGTCTTTGGAAGGAAAACATTCACCAGCACTAAGGGTTACTGATGCCAGGAATCTCTGGGACATAATGATAGGCCTTAGGCCTCCTAGAGAAGGTAAATTTCCAGAGGGTGACTGGGTAGAGATGGCCTGGACCCTGGGACAAAAGCACAGCTGTGCCTGGCAGGGTCCTTGTGTCCCCTTTACAGATAAGGACTCAGAGACACAGATAAGACAGAGCCCCTTGGAGGCCCCATAGTGGCCTATGGGTCATGTTGACTGGCCCTAGACCACCAGCGCTTATAGCTTCTTTATGTGTAGATCATTTTAGGGTCTACTTGGGCCCTCTCCTTAGCAGGATTTGATTGGAGTGGGAGTATAGCTGGGCAGCACAGTTTGTAGGCTCCCAAAGAGTAATGGTAGACAGTGAGCCAGCCCCAAGGCCTGCTAGCCTATGACACCAGGCCATAGTCCCTAACAGGCAGTTTTGATGTCTCTCAGGCCCCTGATTTCTACGTGGAAATGAAGTGGGAGTTCACCAGCTGGGGTGAGTTGGGAACAATTGACTGTTAAGCTTTGGAGCGGGCTATTTGGGGAAGATTCCCAATGACTTTGAGACTCCTTGCAGTACCCCTTGTATCCAAGATGTGCCCGAGCGATGTGTACCGTGTGTGGAAGCGGGGTGAGAGCCTGCGGGTGGACACTAGTCTCTTGGGCTTTGAGCACATGACTTGGCAGCGTGGCCGAAGGAGCTTCATCTTCAGAGGTCAGGGTGAGCTCTGGGGCACTTGCTGCGGGGACATGTGTGCTGGCACCCTTAGATTCTGCTGTGACCTTCTGTCTTCACTTTCTGGACGTGGAGACTGAAGCCAAGGGTAGAGGGTGATCCAGGGGCTGAGGGCATATCTACTTAGCAGCAGGTAGCTCACTGGTGGGGCCTGGCACTGATGTGTTCCCCTCCTGTGACTCCCTGTGGCTGACAGAGGCAGGAGCCTTGGTGATGGAAGTGGACCATGACCGGCAGGTGGTGCACACAGAGACACTAGGCCCAACTCTGCAGGAACCAGAGGCTCTGCTGGCCGCCATGCGGCCCAGTGAGGAACATGTGGCCAGCCGTCTCACCTCTCCTATTGTCTCCACCCGCCTGGACACGCGAAATGTGGCCTTTGAGAGGTCAGTTGGGGCCTGGCTCACCATGGGTGGGGATGGAGGAGAGACAGAGAAACACATTTTTTAATTAATTTATGTATTTATCTACTGGTTTTTCCAGACAGGGTTTCTCTGTATGTCTTTGGCTGTCCTGGACCTCACTCTGTAGACCCGGCTGGCCTTGAACTCACAGAGATCCTCCTGCCTCTGCCTCCTGAGTGCTGGCCTTAAAGATGTGCACCACCACTGCCTGGCTGAAACACACATTTCTTTTTTTTTTTTTTTTTTTGGTTTTTCCAGACAAGGTTTCTCTGTGGCTTTGGGGGCTGTCCTGGAACTCACTTTGTAGACCAGGCTGGCCTCAAACTCACAGAGATCCGCCTGCCTCTGCCTCCCAAGTGCTGGGATTAAAGGCGTGCGCCACCAACGCCCGGCGAAACACACATTTCTTTTTTTTTTTTTTAAAGATTTATTTATTTATTACATATACAGTGTTCTGCCTATATGCCAGAAGAGGACACCGGATTGAATTGTAGATGGTTGTGGGCCACCATGTGGTTGCTGGGAATTGAACTCAGGACCCCTGGGAGAGCAGTCAGTGCTCTTAACCTCTGAGCCGTCTCTCCAGCCCGAAACACACATTTCTTAAAAGTTAGGGTTTCACTGTGTAGCCCAGGCTGGTCTTGAACTAGAGACCCTCCTACCTCAAATCCTGAGTACTGGGATTATAGGCATGTGTTACCACAGCCAGTGTAAACCACCCTTAATAAAAGCAGAACTATCCTTAAGATTCCTCACACCCATGGGAAACTGATCCCTTCACGAGAAGTTGCTTAGATTGGGGTACAGGGACTACTATAGTTTTTATTAATAAACATATGCCATTACCACAGTCAATCTTTTTTTTTTTTTGGTTTTTTGAGACAGGTTTTCTCTGTGGCTTTGGAGGCTGTCCTGAAACTCACTTTGCAGACCAGGCTGGCCTCGAACTCACAGAGATCCGCCTGCCTCTGCCTCCCAAGTGCTGGGATTAAAGGCGTGCACCACCAACGCCCGGCCACAGTCAATCTTTTAAAGTTTTTATTATCTCAAGAAGTAACTCAGGGCTGGGGAGATGGCTCAGTGGTTAAGAGCACTGACTGCTCTTCCAGAGGACCCAGGTCCAATTTCCAGCACCCACATGCAGCTTACAACTGTCTGTAACTCCAGTTCCAGGGGATCCAACACCCTCATGCAGATATACATGCAGGCAAAACACCAATGTACATGAAATAAAATAAATTTAAAAAAAAAAGTAACTCAGGCTGGAGAGATGGCTCAGAGATTAAGAGCACTGGCTGCTCTTCCAGAAGTCCTGAGTTCAATTTCTGGCAATCACATGGTGGTTCACAACCACCTATGAGATCTGGTGCAGGCAGAACATTGTATACATAATAAATAAATAGAATAAAAAGTAACTCTAGCTGCAATCTCTCGTCACTCAGCCCCAGGTATCCAGTAATCTACTCTCACTATTTGCACATGAATGGAATTTGAACATATATTGCATTTTGTGCACTGATTTCTTTTACTTTATGATGTTTTTAAAGCCCATCCAAGCTGCAGCATGTAACTCTTCATTACTTTCTTATTCTTTTTGAGTCAGGTTTCTCTGTGTAGCCCTAGCTGTCCTGGAACTCACTCTGTAGACCAAGCTGGCTTCAAATTCAGAAATCTGTGAGCTGTCCAGCGTGGGCACTGAGGGTGAAACACAATTGATCTTCTTGCCTCAGTCTCCTAAGTACCTGGGGCTCATAGGTGCACACCACACTACACCTGCTCAGATTGTAATATAATTTTATTAGTGTTTAAAAATTAGATCTATGTGTTTTATTTAATGTGAGAGCATTTCGACTACATGTACGTATGTGTACCACATATGTGCCTAAGTACCCATGGAGGTCAGAGGAGGGTACTGGTCCCCTGGAACTGCAATTAGGGATGGTTGTGAGCTACCATGTGGTGCTGGGAATGGAACCTGGGTCCTCTGGAAGAGCAATGTGTGCTTATAACCACTAAGCCGTCTCTCCAGTCCCTCATCTTTAAAGTTGGGCTTTGTTCATTGTGAATATAAAAATACAATTCTGGCCAGGCGTTGGTGGCGCACGCCTTTAATCCCAGCACTCGGGAGGCAGAGGCAGGCGGATCTCTGTGAGTTCGAGGCCAGGCTAGACCAACAGCCTCCAAAACAATACAGAGAAACCCTGTCTCGAAAAACCAAAAAAAAAAAAAAAGACTTTATTTGTATGAGTGTTTCTTCGCATATATGTGTGTGTACCATGTGTGTACACTGCCTGAGGAGGCCTGAAGGAGATATCAGATCCCTTGGAGCTGAAGTAACAGGCATGTGTGAGCTGACTGTTATGGGTACCGGCTTCAAATTCTGGTCCTGTAGTAGAGCAGGAAGTGCCCTTATCACTGAGCCATCTATCCAGACCCAATACTTTAATGATAAAAAATTGTATCTATAATTACAGTTTTTCATGTTTTTTTTTCAATGTAAATGTCTTCATTTCTTTTGTTTGCCTGTGTTTTCCAACTAGGACTTCCAGTATAGTGTTAATTAAAAGTGGCAAAAGCCTCGATGTCTCAGCCTGAAAATAAAATCAGTCTCATCATCATCTAATGTAATTATGAGGTTTTGGGAATACTCTTTATCAAATGAAGAAGTTTCCTTCTATTTCTAATTTGTTGAGTGTTTTCTTTGGGGGGGGTTGGTTGATTATTTATTTAATTTATTTTTTGAGACAGGGTTTTTCCATAGCTTTGGAACCTGTCCTGGAACACACTCTGTAGACCAGGGCTGGTCTTGACCTCACAGAGATCTACCTGTCTCTGCCCCGAATGCTGTCACCACCGCCTGGCTTTTTGTTAGATTTTGTTGGCTAATAATGCTGAGGATTTTGTTTATATGTTTGAACGAAATATTGTTCTGTAACCAGCCTCCTTGCCTCCCTTACTGCTTGTTTGTTCTCTGTCTTCTTCTGTGCTGGTGTTCGAACCCTGGGCTTCCATGTGCACCGCGCAAGCACTCTGAGCTATGCCAGAGTTTGCAGTCTCCTTTTCATGTCTTTGTCTGGTTTTGATACGTTGGCAAAATTTGATAGTATGAGTTGAAAACTATTAACCTCATCATCATTTTGTAGAAGAGTTGGTAAATACCTGACACTAATTCTTTAAATGGTTGGTAGAATTCCACGGTGAAGCCATTCAATCCTGTGCTTTTTCTCTGGCAGATGATGGTGAAGAGAAAAAGAATTATCTCCTCCCTTGCCATGGCCACCTTATTTATAGTATTTCTTCTTATGTCAATTTCAGCAGTTTGGGCCTCACAAGGAATTTGCCCATTCCATCTAAATGACTATTGTTATATTTTTGTGTGTATGTGTGCACACGCAGGAGCTAGAGGCAGGTGGATCTATGTGAGTTCAAGACCAGCCTGGTCTAAAGAGTGAGTTCCAGGACAGCCTGTCTCAACTTGGAAGATTCCCCATGGAGGGCCTCATCCTCCCTGGGGAGTGGAGGGGGGATGGGGTGGGGGTTGGGGGATGTGGGGGAGGGGGGAAGGGTGAGGGAGTGGGATTGGCATGTCAAACAAGCTTGTTTCTTTCTTTCTTTTTTTTTTTGTTTTGTTTTACGAGACAGGGTTTCTCTATTGTTTTGGAGGCTGTCGTCCAGCCCTTCCTCAAACTCACAGAGATCCGCCTGCCTCTGCCTCCCGAGTGCTGGGATTAAAGGCATATGCCACCAACGCCTGGTAAGCAAGCTTGTTTCTAATTTAAATTTTAAAAAAAGATAAAAAGCCAGGCATTGGTGGCGCATACCTTTAATCCCAGCACTAGGGAGGCAGAGGCAGGCGGATCTCTGTGAGTTCGAGACCAGCCTGGTCTACCAGGACAGGCTCCAAAGCCACAGAGAAACTCTGTCTCGAAAAACAAAACAAAAAAGACAAAACAAAACAAAAAAGACAAAAAAAAAAAAAAGACCCTGTCTCAAACAAGAAGAAACAAACCATCATCCCAGATATCTTACCATCTCAATAATAAATGCTTCTGCATTCATACACAGCCTTTAACTGAGCCCCAACACATTATCATACCTAATAAAATAATTACTTTTGCATCCCTGGTCCTTGGCCCTTGTGCAAATCTTCTAGCTGTCCAGGCCCCTCCATGAGTCACTGTGGGCCAAGAACCTTAGCAGTTGAGTAGTCAGGACCACCAGCTAGGTGAAGGGGCTTTTGTTGTGTCCGGGGCAGGAGAGGGTACGTGTCCTCACTGTTCTTGTCTGGTCTGTTGCAGGAACAAATGTGGTATCTGGGGATGGCGGTCGGAGAAGATGGAGACCGTTAGTGGCTACGAGGCCAAGGCAAGAGGGGCTGCTGGGCCAGGGGCCTTGGGGATAGCCTTGTGGGACCTGGGGGTGAGCTCCTTCACCCCCTCCATGCTTTGGAGGGAGAGGTGGAATTGTTTTTTGGCTGCCAGAAGCCTAATCAACCAAAGTGACTTTCTATGGCCCCTGCTGACTCCTCCCTAGGCTCTGAGCTGAAATAATGGTTGGTTTATATTTTGTGACTCCTGGGATTCAGACCCTGCCCCCTGCTCTCCTGTGGGTCTCTGGGAACAGGACAGCTTGGTCCTGGGCTGGTGAGGCTGCATCTGAAGAACAGATTCTGAACCCTGAGTCCCTCATGTCCCCCCATCCTCAGGTGTACAGCGCCACCAATGTGGAGCTGGTGACACGTACCAGAACCGAGCATCTCTCTGATCAGGACAAGCTAAGGAGCAAAGGTAAACCCAGGTGCGACTGCCTGCTGCCCAGTCATCCTGTGGCCTGGGGCCAGGGCTCAACAAGCCCAGGCAGGGTGGGAGGCCTCCCTCTTCCTTCCAGAATCCTCTCCCACCCACCAGGAGAGTGCCAGGCAGAGAATGGTAGGACACAGGCTGCGGAGTTGCCCAAAGTTCCCTCATGGTCCCCACTACTTCTTGTCAGGGGGGAAGACTCCGTTCCAGTCCTTCCTGGGGATGGCTCAGCAGCACTCCTCCCACAGTGGGGTGAGCTTGACTGGGGAACGGTTGGGTCAAGACTGGGTGGATGGGGCACTTTCTGTTCATCCTAAGGGCTAAGTCCTGCCCTGGGGTCTACTCAGGCTCCAGTGCAGCAGGCCGCCAGCCCCACCAACCCCACAGCAATTTCCCCCGAGGAGTACTTTGACCCAAGCTTCAGCCTGGAATCAAGAAACATTGGCCGCCCCATTGAGATGTCCAGCAAAGTCCAGAGGTGAGGTTTGGGGGCAGTTTGGGGAATCCCACCAGAAGACCTTGAGCAGTGGCAGAGTCCTGTCATACATGGAGTGAGTGCATCATTGTGAGGGATCTGCTCACCTGGTAGGTTTTTCTCAGGACCAACTCCAGAGGGTGGGAGCCATGTCTTTCTTAGCCATGGTCTAAACTAGCATGTACGTGGGCCCATGGAGTTGGCCAAACCTTTGCTCCTTAGCTTGTCCTGATCAGAGAGACATCACCAATGTATTTGCTTGTTTGTCTGTTTTGGGCTAGAGAGGGTCCTACTTTGTAGCCCTGGCATGTAGCTCATTATGTAGCTCAGGCTGGCCTCCAACTCAAATCTGTCCAAGTGGTGGGATTACACCATTCCTGGCTTGTTTTCTTGATCAACTCAGTGAGCATGTGCCAGGGACCAGAGCATGACAGAGTGGGGAGGGCCCATAGCTGTCCAGTGGTTTATGTCACAAGGAAATAATCTTCCCTTCTGGGAGTCTGTTTTCTTCAGAAAAACAGTCAACCAGAATTACTCCGTGCAGCCTCACGTGTCTGCTCAGACACTGGTTGAAGATGGTGCTTTTGTGTTTGAGTGTCCAGTGCACAGTGCTGACCAGCTTTGGACAAAGACCAGGCTGTGTGGGGGGGTGGGCACAGGAGGAGGGGAGGGAAAGGGAGAGGGACCTCGTACTGACTTGTGAAGCAACCTTGTTTCTTATCTAAATTTAAAATGGAAAATAAAAAAAATATTAATATAAAAAAAAAAAAAAAAAAAAAAAAAAAAAGACCAGGCTGTGGACAAGGCCCAGAGATAAGCCCACAGGCTGGCTCCTGCCCCTCCTCATGCAGATCAAAAGATTGGCACAAAGCCATCATCACCAGATGGGCCAGGGGCTGAGTCAATAGGAGCTGAATGGGGAGAAGGGTACCACAAGCAGGTGACTAGAAAGGATGAGACATCAGAAGTCGCTGACCCGCTTCCTCTGGTCGGCCGGATAGGTTCAAGGCAACACTGTGGCTAAGTGAGGAGCACCCACTGTCCTTGGGTGACCAGGTGACACCCATCATTGACCTGATGGCCATCAGCAATGCTCATTTTGCCAAACTTCGGGATTTCATCACTCTACGCCTCCCACCAGGCTTCCCTGTCAAGATTGGTGAGAAGGCAACCAAGGGGCAACCAGAACTTGGGCATGACGCTCTCCTCGGGCTTGGGGTTACTGCAGGGGGCAAGCAGCTCAAACCTGGCTCCTCTCCTCTCAGAGATTCCCCTCTTCCACGTGCTCAACGCCAGAATCACCTTCAGTAACCTGTGTGGCTGTGATGAGCCTGTGAGCTCAGTGTGGGTCCCAGCTGCCAGTCCTGCCTTTTCTGCTCCAGGTATGGCTATAGCAACAGGAGAGCCAGGTGACTGTACAGCTGTCTGATCAGCCTTGGGACTGAATGTGACGCCTCTGTTTCCCTGCCCAGGAAGCCCTTTTCCATGTGAGGTGGACCCCACTGTGTTCGAGGTACCTGAGGGGTACAGTGTGCTGGGTGCTGAACGCAGCGAGCCCCTTCGAGATGAGGATGATGACCTGCTGCAGTTTGCCATCCAGCAGAGCCTGCTTGAGGCGGGCACAGAGGCAGAGCAGGTGGGATGCAAGGGGAAGGTGGGTCATGACCTCTGCAGCCACAGGCCTGAGGTGACACCTCTGGGCTCTGGCTGCTGCTGCAGGTGACTGTGTGGGAAGCCCTGACCAACACACGGCCTGGCATTCTCCCTCCTCCCCAAATCACGGTGTTTGAAGAGCAGCTTCAGCTGGAGCAGTGAGTCCCCCAAGAACTGTGCCGGTGCTTGGCTGACTGTGGGAGGGGAAGCAGGCAGTTCTGATCTGAGGGCTCCACACCTTCACAAGGTGGAATGAATGCTGCTCACCACAAGGAGCAGGGTGGGCCAAAGGAGTTTTGCTTGTTTCTCTCCCTGACATCCTGTCCCTCACAATTCCATGCTTTTTTTTTTTTTTTTTTTTTTTTTTTTTGGTTTTACGAGACAGGGTTTCTCTGTATTGTTTTGGAGGCTGTCGGTCCAGCCTGGCCTCGAACTCAAAGAGATCCGCCTGCCTCTGCCTCCCGAGTGCTGGGATTAAAGGCGTGCGCTACCACCGCCCGGCATAATTCCATGCTCTTGGCCTCTCCAAGACTTCTCATTGGTCTGTTCTTCCCTCAACCCTTGCCCTGAAGGGCCCTCCAGGAAAGCCTACAGCTATCCACAGAGTCCAGGGATTCAGAATCTCCTCAGAGGACACCTCTATCCCCTGCACCCCCAAGCTTCGAGGAGCAGCTTCGCCTGGCTCTGGAGTTGTCTTCAAGGGAGCAGGAGGAGCAGGAGCGACGCGGTCAGCAGGAGGAAGAAGACTTACAGCGGATCCTGCAGCTGTCACTTACAGAGCACTGAGTGGTCTGGCCCTGGAGAGGCTCTCCAGGGTCATTCCTGCTGCCTGGTTTTTGTTTATTTATTTATTTATTTATTTATTTATAAACTGTCTGCTGCTGAGCTTGGGGTCTAGGGTCCTGGAAGTAGGCTGGGAGAGGCCAGGATGGAAATAAAGAGACCATCAGCAGTAGGCTTACTGTCTTCCATGGGCTGGAACCAAGGGGATATTGGATGGAGGGACTATTGAAAGGTGGTTACCTCAGCTCTAGCTTTGGATCCTCTATTTCTACAGCTGTACAAGAAGGCCATCCCCTCACAGAGCAGGTGCTCAGGGGATTCTGAAATTCCCCTAAGTGCTACCTCACCTATCCCAATCCCAGGTGCCTGCCGCCCGGCTTGGTCTCCCCAGAACCTAGCCCATGTTCCTGTTGGGGGAGAGAAAGGCCGGGGGTTTCCTATTCTACCCACTGGAGAAAGCTCCTTCCCTCATCCCTGCAGCTTAGGCATAAGTTTCTACCCAGATTTAAATAGCTTCTGCCAGAGTGACTGAGTAAGCCATACCCTCACTCCCGTGTGCAGTAGCTGTGGGAGAGGCTCAGCCCTGACCTGTTCACTGCTGGAATGGACCTGATATGCCTATGGGCTTTGTAGGCTGTTGGTAAGACCCAAATTCATTTCCTCAGAAGCTTCCTGGTCTCCTAGATTTCCTCAGAATGGAGGAAAGAAGGCCACGCCAAAAGGAGAACAAGTTTGGAACAGGATGGTAGATTTAAGTCCAGTCGCTCCAGGCATGGTCAGAAATCTTTAATCCCAGCATTTGAGAGGCAGACACTGATGGATTTAAGCGAGTTCCAGGCCAGCCTGGTCCACAAAGTGAATTGCAGTCATGTCAGAGAAACATAGTGAGACCCTGTCTCAAAAAAAAAAAAAAAAGAAAAGAAAAACACAAAACAAAAGATCTGTTGTCCCTGCTCCTTCCTTCTCAGAAGCCTGAGCGTAAACCAGTGGAGGTCCATAGCTACTCAGGTGATTTTACTACATGTAACAAAGAGGGCTGGGTACCTTCTGTGGAATAGCGACCAAAACCGGGGGGGGGAGAAAGTGAACTCTGGGCCCCTCACCTGAGCCCCTCCCTAGACCCCACCCTCAACCCCGCCTCCAGCGTGGATGGGGCGGGGCGATCTGAGCGGAGATTGGAGGGGTGGGGCCGCGGTCACTCGGTGCGAGCTCTGTGAGGCCGGGCTGGGCACGAGTCGGGCCCTTTAAGGGCCGCTCCCGAGGAGGTGCCAAGCCCTAGTGACTCCAATCTCTTCTTCCTGGTCCTGCGAAGGCAGGGACTGATCGTAGGGCTGTGGGAGGGGTCGCGCCGGGCTCTTGTCCAGGTGACTCGGGCCTGGCCGTATGGCTCTGGTCACAGTGAATCGCTCGCCGCCGGCTAGTGGCCACTCCACGCCTGTGGAATCCACGGTGAGTTTAGCTTGGTCCTACCCTTTCGCAGTCGGCTGCCAGCTGGGCCTGAGGGAGCAAGCACACCCTGCCCCTGACAGCCGGCCTGGGAGTAGGTGGAGAGGGACCTAGAGTCTCACGTTCCAGGGCACTTGGGAGGTCCTGAGGCTCCCGGGAGCTCGACCTAGGTAGATGCGAAGTTCTGAGAGCCAACCCAATGTGCAGAGGCCTAGATCCCTCCCACACTCTGCAACCCCATGCCCTAGCCGCCCGGCTGCCCAGACATAGGCAGGGACTCCCCTGGGGCCTGTGGAGGTGAGCGGCTTCGGAGAGAGGAGGAGTTTTTGTTTGTTTGTTTTTTGGGGTTTTTTGTTTCGTTTTGTTTTTCCACCTAGCATTCCCCTGAGGGCAGAGGAGGAGAGGGTTTTGAGTGCTTCCTGTCCTGGGGGCTGATCTTTCACTTTGTCCCCGGGCTGCTTTCTCAGCAGGACCGAGTAGTCAGGCGCCGAAGCCGGCTCCAGCGCAGGTGAGTCCCTTCTCCGGATGCATGCTTCCTTTTAGCCTGTGGCCTGGCCGGTGCTATTGTGGATTCCAGGTGTCTTGCCTAGACCAAGGATTCATTGAAGTATTGTGATAAACTCATACTTAAGTGGGAGCCAGGTGCTGTGGGTGGAACAGGCTTGTGGAAGAACCAGAGGGGTTACCTTGGCCCTGGTCAGTGGATTATTTCACACATTACCTGGACCTTGGCTCAGGCCAGTGATCACAGGTCCAGGGGCAGGATGGGACCTGAAGACGTATAGGTGCCTAGACAAGTTTGGAGCACCTAAGCCCACCCAGAAAAGGGACACATCCCCAGATGTGAACCCAAGGCTGGCTGGCCCGCTGACCATTATCAGGGTCCTGGTTAAAAATCCAAACTGTGCCTCACTCCAGGCTCCAGGAGAGCTGACTCAGGAGAACAGGCCAGCAATCCATTTCAGCAGTCCCCCTGCTAAAGTTTGAAAACCCATGGCCAGAACCATTTCCCTGTCACTCTGCTAGGCAGAGTTTTGCAGTGCTCCGAGGAGCTGTCCTGGGACTTCAGGATGGAGGAGATGGTGATGATGCAGCTGAGGCTGACTCTGAGGCAGTGGAGGACCCCTTGGGTGAGAAGCAGCCCCCTGAGGACCAGACCGACAACAACGGGCAAGAATTCCAGAGTCCCTGGAAGCAAGTACAGAGGCAGCACCTGCACCTCATGGTGGAGCTGCTGAGGCCACAGGATGACATCCGCCTGGTAAGGGGCCTTGCAGAGTTTGTCTATTGAGGAGCAATGCTGTGAGACTAGGGGGCACCTAGGCAGTTGGAGGGGGATTGCCCAATCCCCGAGAACTCTGCAACTTCAGCTAGAGGCATCTTAGCAGGGCAAGGTCATGTCTGTCTCCAGAGGGCTGTGAAAAGACAAGGAGGTTTGTCATGTGTGAGTCAAGATGGGGGGTTACATGAGGGAGGTTTCTGTTAATCCACAGGAGGCCCCTGCTGATACTCGTGAGTTGCCCAGAGATGGACTCATACTCCCAGGGCTTGTGAAGCATGTTGGCAGCTAGTGTGCCAGCCAGGCACACAGCACCCACAGAGGGCTGGGGTCTACTGGAGCCTAAGAGCCAGCTCCTGAGAGAGTGTGGAGGCAGACACTTGCTGTTGGCAGCAAAGCATGAAAAACAAGATGCAGGCAAAGCCGGGAGAGCTGGGTTTAGAACAGGAATGATGTTCTTTTGTTTATTTGTTTCTATGTTCTTTGGTGTTTTGCCTGCATGTGTGTCTGTGTGAAGTGTCAGAAGCCCTGGAACTGCAGTGACAGACAGGTGTGACCTGCCACGTGGACACTAGGAATTGAGCTCCAGCCCTCTAGAGCAGCCAGTGCTCTTAACCACTAAGCCATCCCTCTAGTCCCCAGAAGTACTGTTCTAACCTGTAATAAGATAAAATCCAGCTGTGTGTTGGTGGCACACGCCTTTAATCCCAGCACTCAGGAGGCAGAGGCAGGCGGATCTCTGTGAGTTCGAGGCCAGCCTGGCCTACAGAGTGAGTTCCAGGACAGCCTCCAAAACAATACAGAGAAACCCTGTCTCGAAAAATCAAAAAAAAAATCCTTCTAGCATGTTTGAGGCCCTACATTCCTTTGGTAGAAGGCATATCTTAAATAAAATATTGGCGAGTGGCAGGGTTTTTAAAAAACCTCCTTGCAAGAATGGAGGGATGGCCCAGGGCTTGAGAGCTCTGATTGCTCTTCCAGAGAAATCAGGTTCAATTCTCAGCACCCACATGGTAGCTCACAACCATCCCTAACTCCAGTCCCAGGATAGCGGACACTCTTCTTGAATCTCTGGGTACCAGGCATGCATGTGGTGTGCAATACATGCAGACAAAGCATCCTTACAAATAAAATAATTAAAAAAAAAGATAAAACCTCGCTGGGCGATGGTGGAGCATGCCTTTAATCCCAGCACACGGGAGGCAGAGGCAGGTGATCTCTGTGTGTGAGTTCAAGACCAGCCTGGTCTACAAGAGCGAGTTCCAGGACAGCCTCCAAAAGCCACAGAGAAACCCTGCCTCAAAAAACCAAAAAAAAAAAAAAAAAAAAAAAAAAAAAAAAGATAAAACCTCTTTGCTAGGCAGAAACAAAAATGAGGCTGCCTCTAACAATGCTACCCTCCCCTCATATTGGGGGGTGAGGAGGTGGGGTTTCAAAACAAAGCTCTCTGTGTAACAGCGCTGGCTGTCCTGGAACTCACTTTGTAGACCAGACCTGCCTCTGCCTCCCGAGTGTTGGAATTAAAGACGTGCGCCACCAACACCAGGCTCTCCTCTCCTTTTCTTACACTCTCCATTTGAGGCTTTTAAAAAGTTTGTTGAGCCATAAATTTCAAAATTTGAGCATTGCTGTGTTCTCAAGTAGCCACTGATTTTCTGTCTGGGAGTTGGGGGGAACGGGGTAGCCAGGCACAAGGTGCATCTATGTGGGAGTGAAGAAGTAGAGCCAGGGTTCCTATGATTCCGGGCTTCTTCCATTTTCCCAGGCAGCCCAGCTGGAAGCAGCCCGGCCCCCACGACTCCGTTACCTGCTGGTAGTGTCCACAGGAGAGTGTCTGAGTCAGGAGACCATCCTTCTGGGGGTGGACTTTCCTGACAGCAGGTAGGAGCAGCGAGAAGAGGTTTGGGCACAGATGTGAGATGCCGAGGGACAATGGCTCTCCTGTTCTGTCAGCTCCCACAGTTGCACCCTGGGCCTGGTCTTGCCCCTCTGGAGTGATGCCCAGGTGTACCTGGACGGCGATGGGTAAGAGGTGGCATGGGGGGCAGGGGGAGCAGGAACTGAGGAACAGTGGAACTACAACTGAGGCTTACCCTTTTTTTACTGTATGATCTTGGGAAAGTCACCTAACTCTAGGCCTCAGCCTTCCCCAGTCTGACAAATGACCAGGTTCTCTGAGAGCCTGGTATTTGGTTCTACCCTCCCTGGGTCTCCTTCCTGCAGGGGCTTCAGTGTGACTTCTGGTGGTCAGAGCCGAATCTTCAAGCCAGTCTCCATCCAGACCATGTGGTAAGTGCTGCAGCAGTCTAGCCTTGGGCCAACCTCTTCTTGGGAGGTGGCCTCCAGGCCCAGGAGAGGGAACCAAGTAAGATGGTGAGAGTCTTAGCCTGTCTTTCTTGTCCCAGGGCCACGCTGCAGGTATTGCACCAGGCATGTGAGGCGGCTCTAGGCAGCAGCCTTGTGCCTGGTGGCAGTGCCCTTGTCTGGGCCATGCACTACCAGGAGAAACTGAACTCTGACCAGGGTTGCCTCAATGAGTGGATGGCCATGTCTGACCTGGAGTCCCTCCGACCACCTATTGCTGAGCCTGGACAGTCAGTGCTGGGGGCGGGGAGAGCGGGTGGTACCACAGTGAAGGGATGGCCTCTTACTGAAGGATCACTACCAGGGCCTCGGAGCAAGAGCAGATGGAACAGGCGATCCTGGCTGAGTTATGGCAGGTGTTGGATACCAGTGACCTAGAGAGTGTTACTTCCAAAGAGGTGGGCAGAGTGGCTGGGCCACCAGACTCACCTTTCTTTGGGGCCTTTCTCCCCTTACTTTCCTCCAGCCCTGAGGCATTCCCCAATCCCTGACTTTAGCTCTGTGTAGATGGGACAGGGTGCCATCTTCAGAGGCTTCACAGGTACAGGGACCTAAACTCCCTTCCCTTGCACCATGCCCATAGATCCGCCAGGCCCTGGAGCTGCGTCTGGGATGCCCTCTTCAGCAGTACCGTGACTTTATTGACAACCAGATGTTGCTGCTCATGGCCCAGCAAGACCGGGCCTCCCGCATCTTCCCCCACCTCTACTTGGTGAGTGCAGGCTGCTGGAGGTGGGGACAGATCACCCATGCAGCTGCTGTGACAGGTCCTGTAACTAGAGGCCAGCCACAGGAGCCCAGTGCTCTTCTGCTCCCACTCCACAGGGCTCCGAGTGGAATGCTGCCAATCTGGAGGAACTTCAGAGAAACAGGTAGGCTTCCCCAGCCTCAGGACTGCCCGTCATTCTCTCAGCCTCCTGTGGGGTAGCCTGGCCAGTTTCTGGAACCTTAGATCACCTCCAGCACTGCTATTTCTGCTTTTACCCAGTCCTGGGGATGTTGCACTCACTTAAGTGCTGAGGCCTCAATAGCATGGCCGTCTGCCCCACTAAGCACACACGAAGGTGCAGAGATGGAGTCTCTGAGACACGGGGTGATGGTGGGCACTTACCAAGCAGAAGAGGTTCCTGCCCACCTGGCCACCTCTTCAGGCATATGAAAATGCCTTCTTCTAGTAGGGATGTGGTTACCACTTCTGAAAGTAACCTGCCATCTCCCAGTGTGGGCTGGGAGACCTGCTGTAGCTGAGAGCCGCTTAACCTGAGCTTAGCTTGAAAGCTAACTGCAGTCTGAATGGTGGACAAGGGTTAGTGTTGACTCCTCATGAGCAAAACTCATCCCCAACAGAGTAAAACACTGTGCCCAAGGTCAGTCAGTCAGCGAATGGCTGGTTCAGTTCTTTTCCCTCTCCAAGTGTTGCCCCCCCTGACTTGGAACCAAGAACCAAACAGAAATGACCAGTGGGCTTGGTTCCTTTGCCACATCAGTCTGGTTTTGGACCCTCTGGTACAGGGTTAGCCACATCCTGAACATGGCCCGGGAGATTGACAACTTCTTCCCTGAGCGCTTCACCTATCACAACGTGCGTGTCTGGGATGAGGAATCAGCACAGCTGCTGCCCCACTGGAAGGGGACACACCGCTTCATTGAGCATGCCAGGTTGGCTCCTCCCAGCTTCTGCCACCACCTCAGCCCAATAGAACTGGCTAAGCCCAGACTTCCAGTGGAGACTGGTACCCTCCTCCTGCTCATCTTGCCTGTGGTTCTGTTCCCTTCATTGCCCTCTCTAGTCTCACTTTCTTTTCTCTGCTGGGTCCTAAGCCCTTACCTGCCCCTTCCCAGTCTCCAGGCTACTGGGGTTGAGGGAGAATGGACTGACCATATCCCACCTCCATAGAGCACAGGGCACTCGAGTGCTCGTCCACTGTAAGATGGGTGTCAGCCGCTCTGCTGCCACAGTGCTGGCCTACGCCATGAAACAGTATGGCTGGAGCCTGGAGCAAGCCCTGATCCATGTGCAGGAGCTCCGGCCCATCGTGCGCCCCAACCCTGGCTTCCTGCGCCAGCTACAGACCTACCAGGGCATTCTGACTGCCAGGTATAGGGGGAGGGGACAAGGGAAAAAAATGTGTATACTGGGGGGGTGTATACTGTGTCACTCAAAGCTGACTCACAGCTACCTCCTCACAGCCGGCAGAGCCACGTCTGGGAGCAGAAAGTGGGTGTGGTCTCCCCAGAGGAGCCCCTGGCACCTGAAGTTTCTACACCATTGCCACCTCTTCCACCAGAACCAGGAGGCAGTGGGGAGGTGACGGTTATAGGTTCTGAGGAAAGCCAGGAAGTCCCCAAAGAAGAGCTTGGGCTGAGGCCCCGCATCAACCTCCGAGGAGTTATGCGCTCCATCAGTCTCCTGGAGCCAGAGAGTACCCCGGAGGCTGGAGAGCTGCCAGAGGTGAGTCTGGGCTGCAGAGCCTGCCTGCAGGAGCCTTGCAGAAGAGGGTGTGGGAGCAGGCTCTGGCAGGCCCCTCACGGCGGGGTGTCATCCTTGCTTCCTCCACACTGACCGCTTTACACCTTTCTGTGCCAGGCAGCTCAAGACTGTCCTGAGTACCTGAGGATGGGGACCACCGTTGGGTTCCTCCTTTTATGCCAGGTCAGGCAAGAGCAGTGGTCACAGGGTCTAAGCAGTGGCAGGTCAGCCTCACAGACTGGTTCATTTCCTAAGGGCTTGACTCCTAGCTTTGGAGTGAGCATCTTCCCAGGGCCATGAGCTCTCCTGCCAGCTGATGGCTAGAAAAGCTGCCTGCACTGGAGATGATAGATAAGAGCATCCCTCAAGTTCCTCCTGTGCGCCGAGGAGCCACACAGCAAAGACCGAGCAGAGAAGACCTGTGTACTCACACACACCTACAAGTGGACAAACAAACATGCTCTGTGCTGAGAGTTGTTGGGCACAAGCTGGGACAGGAAGCTGGCCCTTGTGTGAGGAAGCCAGGCCCACCTGTGACATGAAGTCACATGGCTGACCCAAAAGAAGGAATCTGTGCAGGCAGAACTTCAGGTGCTGGGTATGGACCAATAGGGAGGAGTGGGATTAATGGTGGGTTATTGTCAACAGCAAGTGTCCTATGAGGCACCCGATACTGGTACCTACAGAGCCCTGGTACCTGTCAGGGTTCCAGCTGTGGCTCATGGGATTGATTGAATGTACGAAGGCAGAGGGGTGAGAGGCGGAGGTAGTTGAAGTCAGGCTCAGTGGACTAAGAAGGCTTCGAGGGTCCAGAAGAAAACTCAGGCAAGTACAGCCAAGGAGCAGGGGCTGGGTGCTGCTTTCCCGGGATGTGTGCACCTACTCCTTTCCTGGCTCTGAGCTCCCTGTGGCTCTTTTTCTTCCCCCACCCAGGTCTTCTCTTCCCATGAGTCTTCAGATAAAGAGCCTCTTCATCCCTTCCCTCAGCGTTCAGCAGCCAAAGGCGGTCGGCGGGTCCACAGGGGGCCTTGGCCTGCCCTGAAGTCTCGCCAGTCGGTGGTTGCCCTTCATAGTGCTGCCCTGGTGGCCAGCAGGACCCGGGCCTTCCAGGAGCAGGGGCAAGGGCAAGAGCAGGGGGAGGCTGGTATGCCTTCTACACCTAGGCTCCGGAAAGTGGTGAGGCAGGCCAGTGTAGATGACAGCAGAGAGGAGGGTGGGGCCTAAGCCTTTCTACCCTGTCCCCTAGACACTCTTCAGATAAGCGAGTGCCTTTGCACCTCTGGGCTTGCATACTCCTATAGCCAGCAGTCCCTAGACCTTTGTCACTTCCTGCATCCTGAGGTCTCAGGTAGTTCATGTCTACTTGTCAAGGGCTCAAGACATTTTCTACACAGGGTGCATGGGTAGAACCATTCACAGTGCCTTTAAGGGGAATGACACCCTAGTTTCATTTTCCACTCTCTCCCTAACACTTTATGGAATCAAACCCAGAAATTGTCAGGGCAGGTTTTCTGTTCCATGTCCCCCTCGCCCTCAACTTTTGGCCATTCTGTCTCGCTCCTCCCACCTCTCCTACTACAGTCCTATGGGCAGCTAGGCCAAGGTGCCAGGGGCCACAAGGGTAGATAGCACTTTCAGTCCCCAGCCCTACAGGCTCTGAGGGGGCTCAGAGCCCGCCCCTCACACAGCTGACCAGAATCTCTGCTGCTGCTGGGTTCTCCCATGGCCCTCACTGGGTCACGGGGCACCAGGCTAAACGAGTCTTCTTGTTTTTGAAGGTCTCTGACCAGTCATATAATATTCATAGTCATATAATATCTGGCTTTGTACTGAGAAATAAAAGACATTTTCATATTAAGTTTTTTTCCATTTGGTGACAAAGCCATCTATCTTTCAATCAGATCCTTCTCTGTTTACACACCACACTTAGCCTCTCCTACCCCTTCCAGCCTTCTCTTGTCTCTCAGGTGTCCTGTGACAGACCTGTTTTGGTTGAGTGGTGTGTTGGGGGAGGGGAAGAGGTAGCCAGTGCTATCTCCTTGTCTCTTGGGCTCAGCCTGGGTAAATGGTAGTCATCCTGCCCGTTAACAGGTGCAGGAAAACTAGCCCATATGGGGCACCAGGCTTGTGGTTCTGCTCAGACATCTAAAGGGAGTTAACTAAAGGGAGGAAGTAGGAATTGCTGCTGCCTACCTGAACAAGACCAAGCCTGTCCTAGGGCTGAACTTCCTTTGGGACATTTGATGCTAGTTCTTGAGGATGTTTGGATTCTAAGAATCACCTTCCAAGCTGGGTGCACCTTTAATTCCAACTCTTGGGAGGCAGAGGCAGGATGATCTCTATGAGTTCGAGGCCAACCCGGTCTACAGAGCAAGTTCTAGTACAGCTAGGATTACACAGAGAAACCCTGTCTCAGAAAACCAGAACCAAAAAGAAAAAGAAAGGAGGTCGTGCTTTTTTTTTTTTTTTTTTTTTTTTTTTTTGGTTTTTTCGAGACAGGGTTTCTCTGTGTAGTTTTGGAGGCTGTCCTGGCACTCGCTCTATAGACCAGGCTGGCCTCGAACTCACAGAGATCCGCCTGCCTCTGCCTCCCGAGTGCTGGGATTAAAGGCGTGCGCCACCAACGCCCAGCAGGAGGTCGTGCTTTTATCATTGTCCTTCCCCCCTAGTGTTTTATGACACTGTGACATACTACACTGGTTTGGGGTAAGTGTGTTCAGTACCAGAACTGACTCTAGACATGAGTATCACAGCATATCCAGTTTCATCAAAGTCTTTCCCAAACCCCTGGGGGATTCCCAGTCCTATCCTAACCCTAATGTGGAGAGCTCTGGGTTTGAAGACCTGAGTCTCAGCTCTGGTTTCATCACTTCCAAGTCATTGCACCCAGAGTCTGTTTCTTTTTGTAAAACAAAGGAAGCCTGGGAAGCCAGCCATAAGCACCCCACTGCAGGTTGCTTATAGCTAGAGCTCAGCTTCTGAGTGCTCTCTAGAATAAGAGTCATTTAAACCCATCTGGTGACATGCATGGGGTCAGAAAGGGGTAGGTACAGAGAAGCCAGCTCATTACTGACCCAAGGCACTGAGCAAATATGGGGCTGCTTTCTCTCCTGCAGCTAACTAGGAGTCACACCACACTGCAGAGGCTAGAGCTGAGGGCTGGTAAAATCAATAGTGTCAGGGGGACAGCCCTCTTCCTAATGCTAGCTCAGCTCCTTCTAAGCCTCTATTCACAAGGACCCTAAGAAATAAGGATTCAGCTTTGGGGAAACAAAGACTGGAAAGAAAACTATTTGCATCAAAAATACATGTACTTAAGATATGTGCATACAAAAATTAAACAGATTGCCAGAGAACTTAACTAAATGAGAGTTTATTCTCTGCCCTACTCTCTGAGTGCCTCACCTCCATGAACACAAACAATGGCTCCTCAGCTTCTGAGGCCCTCCAAAGATGCCCTATGGTTATGTCGTCAAATTTACTAGGATGTGTTTTCTTTGGAAATGTAGGTAACAGCATTAACAATTTTTAATTGCTTTTTATGCTTTGTGGGTGGACGACAAGAGAGCTGGAAGGAGTCCTCCAACATGTAGTTTCAGGGATCAAACTCAGAACATGTAGTTTCAGGGATCCAACTCAGGCACTCAGTCTTGGTGGCCCTACACAACAGCATATTCAAATTCTAGGTCTGGTGGTGGTGATGGCGGTGGCAGCAGGGCATGCCTTTATCCCAGCCCTCAAAAGGCAGAGACAGCTTGGTCTACAGAGTTCAGGACAAAGAAACCCCCATCTCAAAACAACAACAACTAAAAATTCTATAGTGCACCTTGAAATAATCTCAAACCACAAGTTTCACATAACTTTCATATAAAAATGTGTCCCGATTTTAGAATACCCAGCCATACGGATCTCTGTGAGTTTGAGGCCAGCCTAGTCTACAGAGTCCCAGGACAGCCAAGGCTACACAGAGAGAAACGCTGTCTCAAAAAACCAAAAAAACAAAAACAAAAAACCCCAGCCATAGCTTGTTCAGTGCCAAAGGGTTTGCCTAGCATGTTCAAGGCCCTGAGTTCAACACCAGACATCAACATACAAAAAAGTTAACCATACATATTCAATTTTATAGAATCTATTATGTATTTAAGTGACATTTATTTTATTTTATTTTTTGAGACAGGGTTTATCTTTATAACCCTGGTCGTCCTCAAACTTACTCTGTAGACCAGGTTGGCCTTGAACTCAAAGATCTCCCTGCCTTTGCCTCCCCAGTTTCGGGATTAACGGTTTGTGCCGCGTGCTGGGCTATATAAGGGACCATTTATTGATGGAACAGTCTGTTTACATTTTTTAAAACACACTTTCCAAGTAATATTCCACTAAGTACTCTAGTCTGAGTTTTCGTTTGCTACTAAATCTGTAGGACATATTTCTAAAATTGCTAAAGCAAAGACTGCATATATATTACATATAATATATGTATATATTTGTTTGTTTTTGCTTTTCAAGACAGGGTTTCTCTGTGGCTTTGGAGGTTGTCCTGGAACTCGCTCTTGTAGACCAGGCTGGTCTAGAACTCACAGAGATCCGCCTACCTCTGTCTCCCGAGTGCTGGGATAAAAGGCATAAACCACCACCACCCGGCTAAATTTCGTGAGACACTGCCTAATTTCCTTCCAGGAAGTTGCACCTATTTACACTAAATGGGAATGTCTACCTCCTTAAAGGGCCATCCAGCCTACACACCCAAGTCACCTTGCAGTACTCTCAGAGGGACAAAGGGCAGGACTTACAACCATAAGTGTTTAGGAAGCAAAACTCAGAAGTTACTGAGTAGCTAAGAGAGCCTCAATCAGATCCTGCGTTTCTAGCTTTCAACCCAGGAGCCTAACTCTGACACGTCTGTTTCTCAGAGGTCAATTCACTGATTTTATCATACTGGTGCTCAAGCGGTGGAGAACCTTCTGGAAACACCCAACTCCGACAGAACAGGCAGAGTCAGAAAGCTCACAGGAGCACAGAGTCCTCATTCAACTCCCACCTGATATCGCAGCCCGACTGGAACACTTGGGGTAATGAGAGCTCTCATCTCTCAGAGTGGCCCCATCTTGTGCTAGTTCCCATCTTCAAAGCCTTCTTCCGGTCAGGAGTCAGGGCAACACCTCATTAGACTGCTTAAAAACGCAGCAAACTCAAACCCTCGGCATAGCTCGCGCTTCCGCTCCCACTCCGCACCGTAGACGTCTCACAGCTAGGGCGTCTACGACCTATCAAGCTTTGGCGGCCTCCCCTCAGGCCGCAGGAATAGCGACAGTGACTCTGGCTCATTAGAACCAACCGCGACGCTCGGGCGCCATCTTGTGGCCATTTCTCAGGCCTATGGATGGCAAACTGAAAACTACATTTCCCAGCGTACCTAGCGCAAACTGCGCAGGAGCAAAGAACGTTCTCTAGTTTCTATGGGAACCTCGACCCACCGGTAAGCCGGACAGTTGTTCTGTGAGGGGTTAGACTGTTTCTCCCTTGGAAGCTAGACCATTACGGGGACAAAGTGGCGAACTTGCCTTGTCTCCCGGGAACATTGCTGTTAGATTCTCCTGGGTATCCTGGCGGCCGCGCTCTCCCGGGACCTCAGCGTCTCGAGGAGCCTGGCGAGGTGCTCCTATAAGGTGCGGCTCCTGAGTCAGTTTCTAAATCTTGTCGCCCTCAGTGGAGCGCACACAGGTACCTCTCCCTCAGGAGCGGACAGCGGGCGGTGGTCGTGGGCGCTGAGTGTATCTGAAGTAGAATCCTGCCTGGGAGACCAGGGCTTAGACCTGATTCTGCCTCCAAAGAATTGGGACCCCAGGCTGACCCCCAGCTTCAGTATCCGTCCTTGTTCCCGCCCAACATAATGGGATTTACCCTGGAATAGAAGACAAATCCCTTCATTTCGTTGAACCCACGTTCCTGTCTCATTAAAATAAGGAAGGAACTTTTAAGCAAAGTGGATCTCTGTGAGTTCAAGGCCAGCCTGATGTATATATCGAGTCCAGGTCAGTCAAGGCTACAAAGTGAGAACTTGTCTTAGGAAGGAAGGAAGGAAGAAAGGAAGGAAGGAAGGAAGGAAGGGAGGGAGGGAGGGAGGGAGGGAGGGAGGGAGGGAGGAAGGAAGGAAGGAAGGAAGGAAGGAAGGAAGGAAGGAAATAATCCCCAAGGTGTTTTCTAGTCATCCATTTTACCTCCATGTAGTCACTGCCCCTCACCAAATGCAAGAAGAATGAAAGGGGGGGTGGGTAATTGAGATGACTTAAGCAAGAATTTCAGCTCAGGATGTGATCTAGTCAAACCTGGGTTTGTGATTTGGGTGCAGACTTATTTTAAGATTTATTTATGTGAGAAACCCTGTCTCAAAAAAAAAAAAGATTTATTTATGTGTGTGGGTGTTTTGCCTGTGTGTATGTGTACCAGGTGAGTACCCGGTGCTGATGGAGGTCAGAAATGGCGTCAGGTCCTCCAGAACTGAAGTTAAGGATGATTATGACCCCCCTCCCCCCGCCATGTGAGTGCCAGGAATCAAATTTGGTCCTCTGCAAGAGCAACAAATACTCATAAGTGCTGAGCCAGTCCCCCACCTCAGATTGTTTTGTTTTTCAGAGACAAGGTTTCTCTATATCTTGGCTGCCTTGGTTCTCGCCCTGTAGACCAGGCTGGTCTCGAACTCCCAGAGATCCGCCTGCCTCTGCCTCCCAAGTGCTGGGATTAAAGGCATGCACCACCAATGCTTGACCAGATCCCTAATTTTTGAACTAACGCCTTTTATTTCCGGGCATACTCATTCTTTTCCAGTAGGATCGTGTATTTACAGACTGAGTCTACTCA